CCTTCCAAAATAGCCAGATTCTACCAATAGGGGACTTGGGGTAATTATTCATATGATGTAAGTGACTAAAACTACGTTTAATGATATCCTCACTATTCTCTACTGTAACTCTAGTTTCTATAATAGCTATAAGATCAAGATTCAGGACACGGAATTTTTTAAGCATTGTTGAGTGCTTCTCAGGAGCATTGAAGCCCCCTGACATTCCAGCTTAGGACCTTCATTTCTCGCGTTTCTTGCCCCTCCCTCTACCTCTGACTGGGACAGGTGGAGGAGGCTCAATACTCGTTCTCCAAATAGGTTTACTCAAAGAAGGGTAAGCTATATCATCCAACAGTGAAACCATCATCATAAGGCCCTTAGCAGCGGAAGCAAGATCATGAGCCCTAACCCTGTTCTTCCTATTAGTGACCAACTTGAAACCATCATCATCAGACCCTGAATGACTACTAGACGCACTTCCCACAACATCAGGGGCAATAGACTTGTCATCACTATTCACTACTACAACCTCGTCCACTTTCTCCTTACCCTTCTGAACAGTTGAGGACACTTTTTGCACTCTAGGTTGCTTAACTACCCACACGCGTTTCACATTCCCTCCTGGATTAGCACAATCATGCCCCAATACACCACACTTCTCACATTCCTGGGGACATGACAAAATTCGACATCAACTAACATCTCTGGACGCCCATTCGGGGTGATACTAAGCTTGTTAATCAGATTAGTCTTCACAGTGATCTCAACACAGACTTTAGCAACACCATACCGGGTTCCCTGCTTCGTCGAAAAATCCATACAAAGAGGTCGCCCCAAGGAGCCAGCGAGACGCCCTAACCCTTCATTAGAATTTAGCTCAGATGGCAAGTTCGATAACGGAACCCATACTAGAACAGTAGAGTTATCAATGGCTAATGGTTGAATACCTGGTTCCCATTTGCGGAGCAAAACCATGTTCTCTCAATAGTGCCAGGGGCCTCCTTCAAAAACCCAGCGACAAACCTCCGCATTGGGAAATTGGAAGAGCACGAGACAATCCCCCAACCATGAGCCCATGACACCATCCCATCTCTCCCCCATATCCAATTCGCCCAGAAGCGTATGGAAGAGAGGGAGGCCGGACAATCCATAAACTGACCAACTAAACAATTGACTCATTGCTTCTCACCTTCATCAATCACCGAGTTAGGATTCGGAGAGACCATAAGTTTAATTTTACATAACCAAGTGCTTTTTCATGAAAGATTTACGTATTATAAATATATTACGTAAAGTTTATAATTAACTACAATGTTCACCATCTCATCAATTTGCATTACGCAAAAATCATGTAAGGTAAATTAACTTTACCATTATAGTTTTATTAATTGTGATACTTTTCATAACTTAATTTTATTATTAGACCAGACACTGTGAAAGATTTATATAACACAATTTTATAACGATTGCGTGAAATTATTATATAATCTTACAGAGGGATAGTTATGTATCAATTAACAAAAATATACAAAATAAGACCTAATGACTAAGACATTTTATATAAGTTTTTCATGAATCATGATATAAATTTGAACTAAAAATCCAAAACTATTAACTAAATTGTTGTTGATCTCATCAACTTGCTTACACAAAGATTTTTTAAGGTCGCTTATTTTTTTACTTAACATTTTAACAAAAAGTTTGATACTTTTTTGTAAACTTAGTTCACTTATTATTTACCAAAATTCATTATTGTTACCTGCTATATTCAACATCTCATCTATTTGCATTGCAAAAATTAGATCTTTTGTAAGATAAGTTAATTTTACATAATAATTTAAACAAATATAAGATATGTAACTTGATTTTATTATTAGACCACACATTATAAAAGATGACGTAAATTATACTATAAAAATTATTCAAGTACACTATGTAAATTATGAAGGTTGAAGAAATAGTTGTTTCTTATTTATCAATTAAACAGACGTGTTTTTTTTTTTATAATGGTGATGAATTTTATTGCTAGAAGAGAAAAGAAGAAACAAACACTGTACAGACAAAGGAGATCACAAGGCCTGATCTCACAGTGCCACAACCGAAAAAACAGAGAAAAAGAAAGAAAGAAAAAAAATAGGAACGAACAGGAGCGCCAAGAGAGGAAGGCAGCTCACGGAACACAAAAAGCGACAGAGAAAAGCAGACCAGACTGCTCCCACTCGTCGAAAAACAAAAGGAAATAAAGACCGAAGACACAAAACCCAGACCAACCTACAGGAGACGAACACAGCAACGCAATCACAACATACTCTGCTTCGGGTCCCACCCTCACTAACATAGCCCCAGCAGAAGACAACAGCAGTAAACAAAGAACACCTTGCAGAAGATCCACCAAAAGAGCAGCAGACGAGCTCAACCCCCCAGCAGTAGTGAACATCCACCAAAGAAACTCAAAGAAGCATAGTCCGCCACGGTTACAGCAGACAAACTCCATGCACTATCAGGGGATCCGATCAAATCAAGTCAGAGCAGCTACGAGCCAGGAGGATCAGATCCTCTGAATTCTCTCGTTGAGCCACTGAGAACAAATATTTCTATCCACCTTGTTATGAGCAGATATCCATTCAATTACCGCTTTACACGCATTTCTGGAAACAACTCTGGCGGGGCTACTGCAATCATTGAAAATGCGTCGATTCCTCTCCCGCCAGACGTGCCAACAGACTGAGTGAAGCGCAGCAAAGGAAAACCAGGAGTTCACATTATCCGGAACCCCCGAAGGCCAAGACTGAAGAACCGTAACAATATCTCCACACGGCGGCTCCACGAGTGGGCAAGCTCTTGTAATGCCAATCCAAACTTCTCGTACAAAGGCGCAATCCACGAACAGATGGTTAGCGGTCTCTTCTTGACATTTGCAAAGATCACACCTGTTCGCCAGGTTTATCCCCCAGCTCTTCAATTTGTCGATCGTGCGCAGCTTCATATGCGACAAAGTCCATAGAAAGAAACACACCTTGGTCGGGATAATTGCCTTCCAGATAGACGCAACGGGGTAGTTAGCAACACCCGGAAAAAGATCATCCACCAGAGTCCTGTACATAGAAGAAACAGAGAAACCAGAGTCTGGATTTGGAAGCCAAACCAGCCTACCGGGACCATTAGAAATACGACCAGCAGCAGAAGAATTTAGAAAGTTTAGGAGTTCAAGCCGCTCTCGCTCAGCACCCCCCCCCCCCCCCGCCCCCCCGGAGAGAAAAATTTAAAGGAATAACCCACCCTACATTCTCACCTGAGCAGTGGTGCAGATCAGAGATCCGAGCAGCAGGGTGTGAGGCGGCAGCAGCAACACGGGGGTATCTAGAGGCGAGGATGCTACCGGGACACCAATAGTCATGCCAAAAGGAAACGTCTGACCCGCAACCAGGGTCCAAGCAAGCAAGCTTCCAGAATTTATCAAAATCTCTGCAAATGTTGGACCATACTGATTTCGAGTAGCCACCATGAATGCGACCAGGCTGCCAAGAGGACAAGGAGTTAGGATATTTAATAGAAATGAGACTCTTCCACCAACTATCACGTTCAGCAAAAAATCTCCAGGCCCATTTAGCAAGTAAAGCACTGTTAAAGCTGGCCAGATCAATAATGCCGAGGCCACCGTTGCTCCTCGAGGCCTTACACACCTCCCATCTTACTAAGGGACTCTTGAAATCGACCCCAGTCCCTTGCCATAAGAATTGCCTCTGGATTTGCTCACGTCTGTTTGTGGTACCTTTGGGAGCTTTAAGCAGAGAGAAGAGATGAACCGGTTTGCTAGATAGGATCGATTTAATCAGAACCAACCGAGCCCCAAAGGACAAATGTCTCCCCTTCCAATCTTGGAGATTCTTCTTGTAGCTGTCTTCGAGAGGTTCCCAAATCCTAACTCCATTCGGCTTAGCTCCCAAGGGAAATCCAAGGTAAATAGAAGGATCCCGACTCCAATTACACCCGAAAATGGAAGCGAAAAAGCTTGGCTCCGGGACATCCCCCACAGTGTACATAACCGATTTATCAAGGTTGATTTTCAGCCCCGTGACTGCCTGGAAACACACCAGGGCAGCCAAAATGTTAAGGACCTGATCTTGAGAAGCATCGCAGAAGATAAGAGAGTCGTCTGCAAACAACAGATGGGTGACAGACGTGTTATGTAAGCCTTCTGTAATAATAAAAACACTACACAAATCTTATGGAAGTGTCATTACTTAAAAAATTTTGTGAATAATTTTATTTCAATGAAAATATTGATTGAATGCATGAAATTTTATTAAAAAATAATTATTTATTACCGCCGTGAAGTGCAAGCCAAAAACTAGTTAAAGCATAATAAAAAGAAAAAATGGTATCTAAACACTTTAATGGTGAAAATTAAAAAAGATTTATTTTGGAACATTAATATCACCATTTTAGTGATCATATTTATCCTTAGTGTTGATAGAAAAACAACCATATATACTTATATATGTGCGTGTTTCACTACTCATTTCAACATACAATACGTATGATATATTATCAAGACATTTGTTACTGGAACTAATGTGTGATCCTCTGTTAATCCTTTTTTCTCTTCCCTCGTTTCGAATGAAAAGGATATATAATTGTAGTGTCTCATTCCAATCACTTTCGTTTGTGCCCGTTATAAAAAAAAATTGGTTTGTTTCATTTACTTTAGTGAATGAAATAACAACTCTTGGACCATATTTATGTATTTATTCTTCTCAAAAATCACATCATCACTATGCTTTTCATTTATAAATATTCTTCTATAATATTGCTACTGTAGGAGCGCATATAACAATTTTCTTTTAATAATTCTTGATAAATATTAAAATTTATGAAGAAATATTCTAAGAAAACGAGAATGGAACTCGTTGAAGACGAGGATGTGTATGGATTGTGTGCTCTGTATTCTAGTTAATTGCTCCTTCATTACAGGTATATTGCAAATGCGTCTGCAGATGAAAGCTCCCCATAGTACTCTTGTTGACTGGGACTCAGTGATGCAGTGGTGGGCGAGCTGCTGGGTAGATAATCTGTTACAGCTAGAATATGCACATTAACTGGGTTGAAGGGTGGCGAAATAGAAAAAGTTTACATCCTTAATCACATCTCGGTTCTCGCGTTTAGCGAGTATGGGGACTAGAGATTATAGCATTGCTGTAGTTTAGCATTCAGAGTCAATAGAGGGATTTACATAATGATTCCGAACTCTGATAGCGGAAAACACGTAGGAGCATCAAAATCACGATGATTTGTCACATCTTAACATACGTTTCCCACAACCTGTAGAAGTAGGGTTTCAAAAACTTCCCCAAAATCGACTGACTCCCTTGGCATTTACCTAGAACTATAGCTTGTTACTGGGTTTGGTCTTTGGACAACGCATACAAACAAAAAGTGACTGCAGGAGGAAGGATAGATGGATAATCATCACTCTTTAAGCAACTTTTCTGAAGTTAAAGTTGCCAATCAAGCTGGGGAACTCCCATTTTCTCCAGGAGCTTGTTCGCTTGAGAGAAATGCCTGGCATTGTCATATACATACACATGTGAAACAAATCTGCGGTCAAAATAGTTTTCCCTTCCTGGTTGAAGTTGATCAAGAATACCAAGTCCGAGAAGGAAGTAAATGGAACTGAGCTAACTAACCTGCAGCCAAAAAAGCCCCTGTGTGCAGACAGGCCAGAGGGATGAGCTGCTTTCAGGATGTGATGCTTTGTCCCATCAATTAACCTGCGTGCAACACTCTCTACGTGAAAGCATGCTTGAACAACTGAAAAAGTGCTGAAATCATTTAAAAGGAAGAAAGGAAAATAATAATAGTAATAAATTCGACCCCTATTCTCCATTATTTACCAAACGAGTAGTACTTCAGGTTTAGAGAACCTGGCTACAATGTAATTTCTGAATGCAAAGTTGCAACGAGCTTCTTCACAAAGTACAGAAATAGATTTTCAGCATGAAAGCCTTGTGAAATTATAACTAAACTCTAGATGATCCAATACATGGGTCTTGAGTAAAATAAACAACAGCTTCATTCTCCAGTTCTCAATCTCCAGCCACTATCTTGGGCCAAGCAAGGATCCCAGGTAGAGTTATAAAAGCACCCATCATTCACAATGGAAAAGGGATCTCAGTTAGCACTATAACAGCCTTTTCCATCTCTAATCAATGGGTCTGATGGCAGAATGCATTTCCCCCATAATTGGGGTAGGGCATAACCAATGCTTTTCCCCCATTTCTGATCAACCAAGAAGACAGAAACACTCAATATGTTTGGAATTCAGCTTTCCATCAAAAACTTCAAGTGCACAAGCTCCATGTGTCATCCTTCAGCCGCATATGACTAAAGGATAAGATTTTTCATAGGAATGCCCAATGATTTGTAGACAGTTCATTAAATGATTACCAAATATAAGTTTGCTTTTGTCATTTAAATACTTGTTTCTGCATCAGGCTAACAAGAACAACATGAAGTACCTGGATTTCTCCCGAGCAAAGTTTCCCCAAAGGAGAAATATAACTCCCTCCTTTTTCTGTGAAATAGTTTTGATAACAGCATCTGTGAATTGCTCCCATCCTTTCTTGGCATGAGAATTTGCCTCATGCTCTCTAACTAAATTGTTAACAAAGAAAAGGAAAACTAAAAGTTAGAAAATTGGAAATTGAACTATTGTATCAAATCAATGATGTAAGAGTTCTCTAACGCGCTCTAACTAAATTGTTAACAAAGAAAAAGAAAAACTAAAAGTTAGAAAAATGGAAATTGAACTATTGTATCAAATCAAGGATGTAAGAGTTCTCTAGCTACCAAATGCTGGTCCGAACCGTAGCATTGAATTTGTGCCTCCAGATAAGAGAAAGCCGCAGAGTAGATCCAAGAGTTACCAGAAGGGCAAACTCAGTACCCTTCGGCCTTCCCTCTGGAAGTTTTTATATCACTTATGGTTGAAAAAGATATCATAGAGAGAAAAGTACCAAGGAAGCATAGCCTAAAAGTACAACCATAGACATGAAAATGCACAACATAAGGATCGTAAAGTCGTCTATGATAAAGAAAATGTCATACATAGTTGTCGGTCCTAAGTTGTCTACCAAGAACCAACCTTGGACATTCTAGATAAACAACATAGCATTTTAAGTTCTGCAATCAGACTGCAGCATATAAAGAACCAGGCCTAGGTAGTTGAACAGTTGGTTCAACCCCATTGGACATTGTGAAAATGACAAGCCTGAACATTAAGCGAAAGTATGATAATTGAGTCGATTGACAAAATGAACTATCTCACCTGTAAGAACCGCGTTGAGCAATAACACGCCCTGCAGCTCATCAGCAAGAAGAAGAAAGAAACAGGTAAATTATCAGGAACTGCTTGAACAGGATCAACAATGCTGCAGAACAAAATTCTTGGCCTCATTATGGTACACATTCCCACACACTCAAACGTATGATGGAAGTTCGCTCACCATAAATTGGGGAAGGATCAAAGTTTTATAGTCATTTCAATTACCTGAATAGCCCACTTTTCAAGATTACCATGAGAAGGAACTGGACACCCAACATCTTGCTTTAGTTCCTTAAATATGTTGACAAGGCTTGAAGGAATCTTGACTCCTTCTGGGACAGAGAAGGAAAGGCCCATGGCTTGGCCAGGACCATGATAAGGATCTTGTCCAATGATCACCACCTTGACTCTGTCAAATGGGGTGGTGTTAAGAGCATTAAACACCAAATGCTGAGGTGGGTATATGGGAACTCCCCGGCCCAGTATCTCATTCTCAAGGAAACTGCTGAGGTTCTTAGCATAAGGCTTTTGTAGCTCTCCAGGGAGAGCTTCCAACCATGTCTCCTCCACCAATAGCTCCTCCAATTTCACATAACCCACACCTTCTTCTGAAACCCAAAAAAAAAACCCTAAAATTGTGAAGCTCCCATAAATGTTACCTTTTCTGGACCAAATTGTTTGACGATAAATGGAAGGACCAAGTCCAAACAGAATCACGATCCAAATTAGAATTCAAGAAGTAAGAAAACAAATGAGGGGCTTCACATTTGGAGTTACCTCTGCAGTTAGAAACGAGTTGGGAACAGTGCTTGAGGTTGCGCTTAGACTTAGCGCGCAGTTTGTTGAACTCGATGCGAGACTTCTGGTCATCGGAGAGGGACGCGGAGGTGGAGAAAGAAGAGGAATCGGTGGCGGATTTGGTGAGAGGGAAGGAGGAGGGTTTGGAAGGAGAAGAGAGCTTGGGGCGTTTGGCTGGGTGGAAGAGGTCCATAATCGTCTTTGAAGAAGCGGCTGCCGGCTTCTTGTTCCTCATTGCGGCGGCGGGGAGGATACGAAGAAGCGGGAGAGGGAGTGGCACTGTGGAACTGTGGACTATTCTACTGGGTATGGGCGGGAACAGCAATTCTCGGCCGCTACCCTTTCCCAGAATTGAAACACGCATGAAAAAAATTGCACCTTCGAAGTTCCGAATACCTCGCCAAATGCGAAAAAGTTAAACTCCTAACTGATACTTTTGTTAGGAGATACTGACACGGGCTGGATTGGATCCACGGAGGCCCAGCCGCAATTCAAGGTGGAGGGTGACGGGCTCACTTAAGTGAGCTGACGGTGGGCTCCTTAGCACCAAGCCGACCAAAGGGAGGTATCTGGTGGATCAGCTTGGGACAGCCGATGGTTTTGGGCGGGATTTTGTGGGCCCGGCGAGAATGGGTTTTGTGACGTAAATGGGTGAAGGAAAAATAAAAATGGGAAAATAAAAAGCAAGGGGAGATGAGAATTAAATGCCCAACCCCCTCTTCCTCTAAACCGAAAAAGCTATTTCTCAATTTTTTCTCTGTTTTTCTCCTCTTTCAAAGGCAGAGCCGCCACCAACAATTATTTGCGGCGACCAATGGCCTTGCAGGCGAGCCTTGTCCACAGTCTAGGATGTTGATAAAAGAATATGGTGAGTTGGACGATGAACGAGCTTCTCCGATGAAGAAGGATAAGAAGCCGATCGTCCAAAATGAAGAAGAACCCCATCCTACATCAGATGACTTGTTGAAGAAGATTCAGGTGGTGCGCCTGCCCTCGATGAAGAAAAAGAAGAAAATGAAGGTTGGTTGAATAATATATATGTTTGTGTTGTTGAGATTGGTTGGTTACATTGAATGGCATTTAATGATGTTGATGTTGTTATGAGGTACTGATACAGGGGTTTTGGATACGATTTAGTAAAATGTTGGATATTAGTCTGGGCATGTTGGAAGTGGTGTGTATCATACTGTTTAATGCAATGCTTGATAGTAGTCTGGTATAAATGGATAGTATTTTATTGAAAGTCTGGATATTTGTTGAAGCATATGTATTCTAACAGTTTGTGGGTAAGATTTGACGTATGTTGGATAGTAGTCCGGCCATATTGATTTCATTTGTTTATTGGACAATATGGATAATAACATGCCTCAAACCATTAACTCGCAACTCATAAGACGTTGGACCTAAAAAACGAGGAAGCAAGGAAGAGCTTTATCGCACTAAGGATGAGTGTTTGGATTTCTATAAACGCTATGCTCACAAAAAAGGGTTTGGTGTTCGAATAGATGGGGAACACATAAGAAAGATTAAGAATTCTAAAGGAGTGGTGGAGAAAAATTATGCATATCTTTATTACTTTTGTAATAAGGAAGGCTGGACTTCCACTAGCGAAGTAAATGTGGACAAACAGATACGGTGGGAAGACAGGTTGAGGAAAGAAGGCGCCCTAAAAGAAACAGGTCTCGAGTTAGGGATGGATGTCCCACCCGTGTTCGTTTTTGATGGGATGCTACTAGGGACGGATTTGTGGTGTATGAATTCGTAGAAGCCGACAATCATGGTTTGCACTCTACTGAGCATATGCACTTGCACAAGTCCAACAAGTGCATGAGTGATGCTTAGAGAAAGATGGCCGAAGCTACTCGCGATAACGGGATGAGTCTTAGCGCATCGTATCAGTTATTGGCTTAGTGTGCTGGTGGCTATCAAAATTTAATTTTTATCAAATGCGATCAGAAGAACCACTTGAACAGTAAAAAGCAAAGGAAAATGGCTCGTGGTGAAGCGACTTTTTTGCTTGACTACTATGAGGACCAAAAGGACAAGCATCCTCGCTTCTTTTATGTTGTAGAGGTAGATTGCGAGGAGAAAGTTGCTAATATTTTTTGGGCGGACGGTAGGATGCGTGAAGATTATGCACTTTTTGGAGATTCGGTCTCCTTTGATACCACCTTCCGAACTAGTAAATACTTCCGTCCACTGGGTACGCGAATCACCTAATTCCCTTAAGTTCTTTCGACACTCATTCGGTTATGCATTGTCATTAATAGTGTAGGTATATTTTAGAAATGGTTATGACTAGAATGTAGGGTGGCTCGAGAGTGGTCTGTTGTGATCCGATATTAACATGATATTTGAGGATATTTTTTTGCAACAGAGAGGAAATTAATCCGCTTTTATAGGATATTAGTCTGGGTTGTACTGATATTTGTTAGCCTATGTAGTAACATTGTTCTGTGCAGTATGGATATTATACGTTTTTTTACTATCCATCAAAACTAAACACACTATCAAGTCCTAACACATAAGGCTTGCAACCTTAGTTAGGCCTGCCTGCCGAGGGCTCATGGGCCGAAGGCCCATACACAATAATAGTAGGAGAGGAATCACGTAATTCCCTTGAGTTTTTTCGACACTCGTTCGATTATGCATTGTCATTAATAGTTGTCTTGTGCAGGGATGCTTGTAGGTTTCAATCACCACTGTCAAACTTGTGTGTTTGGTGTTTGTTTGATGTATGACGAGACTACTCCGTCTTTTGAATGGTTGTTTGTTTCATTTAGTCGGTGCATGAAGAAGAAGCTCCCATTCACTACCTTTACTGATCGGGACGCCGCCATGACAGCTTCCCTTAGAAAGGAGTGGTCTACCGGGTTTCATGCCCTCTGTACTTGGCACATCCTCATAAATGCCATGAAGCATCTTCGCAAGGACAAGGCATTTTGGAAGAATTTCCAAAATCATCTTGCTTTTATTTTCTACGACATCGACAGTGAGGAAGAGTTCGACATGACATGGAGCACCATGGTTTCTGATTGTTTCCCAAATAGCGACATTGCGGATGACCACCCATGGTTGGAAAGTTTGAACAAATTTCGTCATCAATGGTGTTCCTTATGGTTGAGAGATCAATTCACAGCCGGGATGTTGATTACGCAAGCCAGCAAGTCGTGCAATGCACAAGTGCGACTTTTCTTTAAGTCGAGGCATGATTTGGACTTGTTTTTCATTCACTTTAGCAGGTACATACGCGGAATATTACGTTGTCTTTCTTTGATATTAGTGTGCTAGGTATGGATATTCGTATATTTCATCTGGATATTCCTATGCCATGGTGAAATATTACTTTGTTCTTTTCGGATATTAGTACGGGTCTGAGTTGATATTAGTCTGGCACTGAAGTATTTTCTCTTGCTTCCTAATTGTAGTTTGTTGGCTGACAAAAGACGCAAGGAGACAGAGTTAGACTACAATGCGAAACAATCGGTTGCTTATATAATGTTGGAGCATAGTCCGATCCTCCAACATGCGGCAAAGATCTTTACTCCTAACATCTTCAATCAGATACAAAAGCAGTATTTGAAAACTAAATCCTATCTAATGGAAGACACTCTCACATACTAGGGAGGATGTCATGATTGTCTACCTCACATAGATGATGGAGGATGGTGAGCGTAGTGATGAGCGTGTCGTTCTCGTCGATATTTCTACGAGGAAATTAGTATGCGAATGCAGAATGTTCGAAACTTTTGGAGTGTTATGCCGCCACATGATTAAGGTGATGCGGCTTCTTGGATATTTTGGGGAAGCATGTATGAGAAGCATTCCAGATCATTACATACTCAAGCGATGGACGTTGGAGGCGAGAAAGAAAGAGGTTGTTGATGTCAATGCTTTTTTAGTCCTTCAGCTGCCACTGAGAATGATGCGGGAAAAGGTATAGCAATGCAGTACCGAGAAACCATAGCAATGTTGAATCAGCTAGCTACGAATCTGTCAATGGCCTGTGAGAAAGACTACAATAACTGGATGGGATCACTCAAGAAACTATTCAATGAGGCAAACAAGGCATTGTCAAAGACTATAACTAGCGAGGAAAGTAAGTGTATTCACTAATATCATTGTATATTATTAGAGTTTTATATCTTTGCATTTACTATATTCTCTAACATTGTAGGACGGTCTGTACCGATAACTGGACTGACTATAAAGGAGAAGAGTAATCCAAGGAGCCACGACATGGAATGTTATCAGTCTAGGTAGGGCTGGCAGTTTGGACCGGGACCGGATTGAAAACCGGAAACCGGACCGTAAAATCCGAACCGTTTTAAGACCGGGACCGAATTTAAAACAATCCAATCCCGTCTTTGGTCTTAGAATTAGCAAAAAACCCGGACCAATCCGGTCCGGGTCAAAACCGTGTAAAAATCGGAAGATCGGATAATTACAAAACAGATTTAGAGGCTCAGAATAAGCCTGGTGCCTCACGAACGCCTCCGCGTACTTGCAAGTCGTGTGCCGCCTGTAGTACTGGTACTTGAGCTTCAAAGGCTGCTGCAGCCCGATCGCCGCCTCCACTCAGCCGTCCTCCACCGCGAACATCAGTATCACCACCACGGGAAACAACATCGTCCTCATTTCCTTACCACCAGGAAGGGAGAAAAAAATGTCTCCGGTGCGTGTGTGTGATGCAACTTGCGGATTCTGAATTTCCGATTGGGTGGTGGGTTACATATATATATATATATATATATATATATATATAGAAAGAGGAGAAGGACAGAGGAAAAGTAAGTTTGACGATATGGCGGTGGCGGGGGGAATTGTAGTGGTTATCAAAGAAATTAGGCTATGTATTACTGTCTTTATTAATTGGAAATTAATTGAATATTAACTTAATCATTATCAGCCTTCTTATTTCTTTTAAGGGTTAGATTAAATCGATTTTATGGTACAACTACAGTACATTCAATTTCATAAATTGTGTATTTCGATTATGTGATTCGCCTCAAGATTACTTGTATTTTTAAGTGTTTCTGAAATTTATTTTGTATAATTCTAGAAATTCATCTAATGACTATTGTAGGCAAATAGCTAAAGTCATCAGTTCATACCAATTATATGTATTTTGCATAATCGAATTGGGTATATGCTGCTGAATTTTTTGCAATATGGTCAAAACGGGTCAAAAAAGGTGAAAACCGGATTGGGACCGGACTGGGTCAAAACCGAACCGGGTCAAAACCAGACTGTACCCAATTCAAGTTTTGGTCCCCATATTTCCAAAAAAACCGGACTGGACCGGATCAATTCGGGCCAATTTAACCGGACCGGACCGTATTGCCACCCCTAAGTCTAGGAATGAAAAAGAATGCCGTTAAAAGAAACACCTCTATAGGAATAGAATGAAATCAATTGAAGTGGTCACACCAACAACAATACTCAACCGGATGACCATCTTAGTGATTTGGATGATAATCGTGCTGAATGGTTATGAATAGAATGTAGGGTGGTTCGAGAGTGGACTATTGTGATATGATATTGACATGTGATTCCATGATACGTTTTTGTCATGCTCTGGATATTAATCCGCTTGTAATAGATAGCGGTCTGGGTGATATGGATATTTGTTCACATATGTACCAATATTAGTATGGCCTTTCAGGATATCAGTATTGTCAACAACAGGTTCAATAGTACCAATGATTACTTCTTTCACTATTCACACGTGACTTTTTTTTTTGTTACTGTACTCATGTGAGGGTTTTTGTTTCTATTCTCTAAGGACATGTTGCTAGAGTACTTCCGTATGACCATTTGTCTATTTAAGACAAACCACACACAAACAACATCGGCTATCCTCCTCCCTCAGTTTCTTCTTCTCTTCTCTTCCAAAGCAAAATCCATGTCTGGAGAGACTCCTAAACCAGCGCGTGGGGGATTGGTGGATGAGTTCGAATATGATGGTGTTGTGCTCTGTTACCATGGTCGGAGAGTCGCTAGACACCTTGTTGTTGATGGAGTCAACCCACCAAAGAGGTATTTCCGATGTCTGATGTACGACTATGACAATGATAAGGGGTGTGGGTTTCACATGGATTGGGACGAAGTAATGTTCCCCGCTTTTTTATAGTCAGATGATGAAGATAACACCGAGGAGACCGTGAAGAAATGAATTAGTATTTCCTGTCATCACCTTGTATTGTGTTGAGTTTGTTTATATTTCTGATTCAAAGTGTTATCCATCTTTATCTACTATTAGTCTGGGCTCTAAGGATATTAGTCTACATAAATACGGGTATTAGTCTGGGCCTTAAGGACATTAGTCTAGGCTCTATTGATATTAGTCTACAAACAAATGTAGTGTGATATTGGTTTGTAAAACTGAACTTAAGGTTGGATAATATTTAGGGATGAATGCTATTTAGGGTTGGATAATATTCAGGGATGGATGGTGGTTTGTAACCTCCAAAGTAAATATCTGTCTTTATGTAGACTAATATCCTTAAGGCACAAACCAATATTCTTACATCTCAGACTAATACCTTCTTTATGTAGACTAATATCCTTAACTCTCAGACTTATATCAATAGAGCCCAGACTAATGTCCTTAAGGCCCAGACTAATACCCGTCTTTATGTAGACTAATATCCTTATAGCCCAGACTAATTGTAGATAAAGATGGATAACACTTTGAATCAGAAATAGAAACAAACTCAACACAATACATGGTGATGAGTGATGACAGGAAATACTAATTCATTTTTTCACGGTCTTCTCGGTGTTATCTTCATCATCCGACTCTGAAAAAGCGGGGAACATTACTTCGTCCCAATCCATGTGAAAACCACACCCCTTATCGTTGTCGTACTCTACATCAGACATCGAAAATACATCTTCGGTGGGTTGACTCCATCAACAACAAGTCGTCTAGCGGCTCTCCAACCATGGTAACTGAGCACAACACCATCATATTCAAACTCATCCACCAATACCCGACGCTCTGATTTAGGAGTCTCTCCAGACATGGATTTTGCTTTGGAAGAGAAGAGAAGAAGAAACCGAGGGAGGAGGATAGCCGATGTTGTTTGTGTGTGATTTGTCTTAAGTAGACAAATGGTCATACAGAAGTACTCTAGCAACATGTCCTTAGAGAATAGAAACAAAAGTACAAAACCCTCACATGAGTACAGTAACAAAAAAGGTCACATGTGAATAGTGAAAGGAGTAATCATTGGTACTATTTAACTTGTTGTTGACAATACTGATATCCTGGAAGCCCAAACTAATATCGCTACATATGCGAACAAATATTTATATCGCCCAGACCACTATCTATTACAAGCGGATTAATATCCACAGCATGACAAAAACGTATCCTAGAATCACATGTCAATATCATATCACAATAGACCACTCTCGAACCACCCTACATTCTATTCATAACCATTCAACAAGATTATCGTCCAAATCACTAAGATGGTCATCCGGTTGAGTATTGTTGTCCGACGTGACAACTTCAACTGATTTCATTCTATTCCTATAGACACGTTTCTTTCAAAGGCGTTCATTTACATTCTTAGACTAATAATGTTCCTTGTCGTGGCTCCTTTGATTACTCTTCTCCTTCAGAGTCAGCCCAGTTATCGGTACAGACCGTCCTACAATGTTAGAGAATATAGTAAATGCAATGGTATAAAACTCTAACAATGTAAAAATGATATTAGTGAATACACTTACTGTCCTCGCTTGTATAGTCTTTAACAATGCCTTGTTTGCCTCATTGAACAGTTTCTTGAGTGTTCCCATCCACTTATTGTAGTCTTTGTCACCGGCCATCGACAGGTTCATAGCTAGCTGATTCAACATTGTTTTGGTTTCTCGGTACCGCATTGCTATACCTTTTCCCGCATCATTCTCAGTGACAGCTGAAGGACTAACAGAACCATCGACATCAACAACCACTTTCTTTCTCACCTCCAACGTCCATCGCTTGAATATGTAATGATCTGGAATACTTCTCATACATGCTTCCCCAAAATCTCCAAGAAGTGTCATCACCTTAATCATGTGGCGACATAACACTCTGAAAGTTCTGAACATTCTGCATTAGCATACTAATGTCCTTATAGAAATATCGACGAGAAATACATGCTCATCACTATGCTCACCATCCTCCATCATATATGTGAAGTAGCCAATCATGCCATCATCCCTATTATGTGAGAGTGTCTCCATTAGATAGGATTCAATTTTCAAATACTGCTTTTGTATCTAATTGAAGATGTTAGGAGTAAAGATCTTTGCCACATGTTGAAGGATCGGGCTATGCTCTAGCATTATATAGGGAACCGATTGTTTCGCATTGTAGTCTGACTCTATCTCCTTGCGTGTTTTGTCAGCCAACAAACTACAATTAGGAAGCAAGAGAAAATACTTCAGTGTCCAGACTAATATCCACTCAGACCCGTACTAATATCTGAGAAGAACAAAGTAATTGCATAGGAATATCCAGATGAAATATACAAATATCCATACCTAGCACACTAATATCAGAGAAAGACAAAGTAATATTCCGCGTATGTACCTGCTAAAGTGAATGAAAAACAAGTTCAAATCATGCCTCGGCTTTAAGAAAAGTCGCACTTGTGCATTGCATGACTCGCTGGCTTGCGTAGTCAACATCCCGGCTGTGAATTGACCTTTCAACCATAAGGAACACCATCGATAACAAAATTTCTTCAAACGTTCCAACCATGGGTGGCCATCCGCAATGTCGCTATTTGGGAAACAATCAGAAACCATGACGCTCCATGCCATGTCGAACTCTTTCTCACTGTTGATATCTTAGAAAATAAAAGCAAACAACCATTCAAAAGACGGAGTAGTCTCGTCATACATCAAACAAGCACCAAGCACACAAGTTTGACGGTGGCGATTGAAACCTACAAACATCCATGTACAAGACAACTATTAATGACAATGCATAACCGAATGAGTGTCGATAAAACCCAAGGAAATTACGTAATTCCTCTCCTACTATTATTGTTTCATGGGCCTTCGGTCCATGGGCCCTTGGCGGGCAGCCCTAACTAAGGTTGCAAGACTTATGTGATAGGACTTGATAGTGACATATAATATCCATACTGCACAGAACAATGTTATTGCATAGGCTAACAAATATCAGTACAACTCAGACTAATATCCTATAAACGCGGATTAATATCCTCTCTGTTACAAAATAAATATCGGCAAATAACATGCCAATATCGGATCACAACATACCACTTTCGAGCCACCCTACATTATATTCATAACCATTTCTGTAATGTACCTACACTATTAATGACAATGCATAACCGAACGAGTGTCAAAAGAACTCAAGCGAATTAGGTGATTAACGTACCCAGTGGACGGAAGTATTTATTGGTTCGGAAGGTGGTAAAGGAGACTCAATCTCCAAAAAGCGCATAATCTTCACCCATCCATTGTCCGCCAAAAAATATTAGAAACTTTCTCCTCGCAATCTACCTCTACAGCATAAAAGAAGTCAAGAGGCTTGTCCTTTAAGTCCTCAAAGTAGTTAAGCAAATAAGTCACTTCGCCACGAGCCATTTTCCTTTGCCTTTTACTATTCAAGTGGTTCTTCTGATTGAATTTGGTAAAAGTCAGATTTTTATAGCCACCGGCACACTTAGCCAATAACTGATACGATGCACTAAGACTCATCGTGACATCACGATTAGCTTCGGCCATCTTTCTCTGAGCATCACTCATGCACTTGTAGGACTTGTGCAAGTGCATATGCTCGGTAGAGTGCAAACCATGACTGTGGGCTTCTACGAATTCATACACCACAAATCCGTTCCTAGTAGCATCCCATCGAAAACGAACACAGGCGGGACATCCATCCCTAACTCGAGGCCTCTTTCTTTTAGGACGTCTTCTATCCTCAACCTTGTCTTCCGACTCTATCTGTTTGTCCACATTTACTTCGCTAGTGGAAGTCCAGCCTTCCTTATTAAAAAAGTAATTAAGGTATGCATAAATTTTCTCCACCACTCCTTTAGAATTCTTAATCTTTCTTATGTGTTTCCCATCTATTCGAACACCAAACCCCTTTTTGTGAGCATATCGTTTATAGAAATCTAAACACTCATCCTTAGGCCGATAAAAGATGTTCTTCCTCGCTTCCTCGTCTTCTAGGTCCAACGTCTTATGAGCTGCGAGTTAATGGAATGAGGCATGTTATCATCCATATTGTCCAATAAACAAATGAAATCAATATGCCCAGACTACTATCCAACATACGTCAAAATCATACCCACAAACTATTATAATACATAGGCTTCAACAAATATCCAGACTTGCAATAAATACTATCTATTTATACCAGACTACTATCAAGCATTGCATTAAACAGTAGGATACACACCAGTTCCAACATGACCAGACCAATATCCAACATTTCACTAAATCGTATCCAAAACCCCCGTATCAGTACCCCATAACAACATCAACATCATTAAATGTCATTCAATAAAACCAACCAATCTCAACAACACAAGCATATATATTATTCAATCAACCTTCATTTTCTTCTTCTTCGTCGAGGGTAGGCGTACCACCTGAATCTTCATCAACAAAGTCATTTGATGTAGGATAGGGTTCTTTTTCTTCATTTTGGACGATCGGCTTCTTATCCTTCTTCATCTGAGAAACTCTTTCATCGTCCAACTCGCCATTTTCTTCGATCAACATCCTAGACTGTGGACAAGGTTCGCCGGCAAGGCCAGTGGTCGTCGGAAATAACTGTTGGTGGCGGCTCGAATCTGGAGGTTAACGGTTCGAATTCCTTCAGTAGAACTTAACTGTATAAACAAAAACCTATTTCACCCTTATCTAAAAAAATAAAAAACAGACTAGCTCTTAGAAACTCGGAGCGACTTTTTCTTAGCGGAAACCCTAACAACGAGAGAATATGAAACAACTGTGAACTTAACTTGTGCTATTAACTTAAGGTAGAGAATATCTAATTAGGTTGATTAGAGTAATTTCTCAATTCTTCATAGTTGGTCGATTGATCGAGAGTAAGATCAGACTATAATGCCATATTGGATCATTATCCTTTAGTGAGAGTCTAAATTCCATGCCCCTAGCTGTTTTATTTTTCCATATGTGAACTCTCCGTCCGGATAGTTCATCCTAGGTGAGCTTGGATAACTCAAATTGGGATTTCAAGCGGGTTTAGGATTCTTCGTAATCTTGAGCGGGAAAGCTTGGAAGGTCAATCATTGGTCTAATTTGTAGTTAGAGGGAAGCTCATCAGAGTGAGGTTTCCTCAATAGATCTCAACCAATTTTTACTTGTTTTGTATGTTAGCTTATTAGTTAAAACCAAACTTTTGATTGCTAGATAATCTATAGTTCACAAAGTAATAGTAGATTTGGCGTTGGAGTTGGTAATTAAGCTTACTTCCGCTATTCTACACCCGATCGATGGTTGCTCTTGGCCTTCGGTTGTGATAGTAGTTAAGAAGCATACAAGTCAAGTTTTGGGCACCGTTATTAGTGAACACGACCCATTATTAGGAAAATTGGAGTATAGTTACTCTAGCTTTTGTTTTATATTGGTTTTGTGTTACACGGTTGTTTTTTGAGTTGTGATACAAAAATTGTATATGACCCAGAGCAACCTAGGGGATTTGAAACCGAAATATCACAACATCAACCGCACCTTGCGCCTTGTAGCAAGGGAAAGAGAGCTAAGATTGGCTCGGGAGAGGTTAGACACTCATAACCCTCTGGAGCAAGAAGAATGAGTAGAGGCCAAAGTTGAAGCTATAGCGAAAGAAAATCATAATCAAGAGAACAATACGGGAGAACTAGAGAGGACTATGGCGTATTACTTCACCCCACAAATTGAAGAAATACAAACCGAGCATCCGACTCCTTCCATTGTCCCCAACAACTTTGAAATCAAGACAAGCGTTATCTCCATGAACCAAAATAATATCGAGTTCTTCAATCTCAACCATGAGGCATCAAGAGATCACTTCAATATATATGTTCTTGGAGCTCATGGGCGAGATAAAAGGTGAACGGTCTTCCACAAGAGACACTTCAATTGAGGTTATTTCCATACTCCTTCAGTGGAACATCAAGATGATGGCTCAACAATCAAGCACCCCTCTCAGTTACATCTTGGGTTTAT